ATTCTGTGAATACCAAGTAGGGCAGCTGTTTTTCCAGACATGTAAAGGTTGGAAAGTTTAGATGACAATTTATAGTCATAACCTCGTCACTGCATATGAATGAGTGTGACACATGCATTTATTTTTCTCCTGCTGTCCACTGCAGTGACTTTCACCCTGGTTCTTACAGTGTGAGGGCAGATCGGATGTTGGGTGCTTTTGCTAATAACTTGCTGTAATAACAGGCAGGTTCAAGGTGACCGCCTTGGAGGGATCTCAGCTGCTGGTGCTTTCCTTTCCTGTTGCTCTTATTGGAAGAGAAAATAAAAAGATGACATTAGAAATTGAAAATGTGATGTTTTAAACATAACTTCAGTCTCTAAAAGTTTGCTAAACATAAGTGTTTCTTGCATTACCCACGTTTTATCTACTCTCCTAAATGAATCTGTATTTTCGAGATCTGTCTTGGTCTTAAGAAGGTCTCAGGTTTTGCTCTTTGTAAAATGTCTCTTGAGAATGTATTTATTCTAATTTTGCTGATTTAGACAAAAGCTAGTGTAACTGAAGGTACCCGGAGCTGGTTGTAGCATATAAACACTTAGATGTGTGGTCCCATTGCTCTGTGGAGAAAAAGTATACCTTGGACAGATTCAAATGTACATCAGCAACTCACTCCAAACTTATTCTGAAAGTTCAAAACACTGTGACCTTTCAACTTGACCACGTTGTACCTCGGATGCGAGGCCATTACCGCAACACTCAAAGGTGACAGTCGCACTCCTGGGACAAATTAATGGTCCATAACCTTGTGGATGGGGAAGAAAATGACAAGCTTGCCTCTGATTATACACTTGACCTTATGCACCTCCTACTGAACACTGGCAGCAGGTCTCAGAGTTACAAGTGACGATTGGTGACTCCAAGGTGGAATCAGTTTGGCCTTTGACAGCGTGAGGTCACTGATGAAATCTGAAATGAGCGTCTTCAAAGTGCCCAAAATGGCAGCTGGTGGAATTGTTCTGGGACGGCTGTGTAGGTGATCACTTCCAGGGAGACCACAGAGGTGAGTTTGGACAGAACCCATTTGGCCATGTTCGGGCACAGATAACCTTGTATAATAGTATTTGTGTCTTCCACAGACTTACCTAGTTTGTCACGAAGCTTCAATGTCTTTTACTGGGGTTGTATGTGTTGTGGAGATGGTAGGATAAATATCTCTATTAAAGATAACCTGTTATTCTTCCTTGAACTGGTTCATCACCTTTTTTCCACAAAGTCCTCCTAACTAATGGTAAAACCTCCTTCAGGAAACCTCATTGAACACTTAATGGAATGAATCAAATTAGAGGACAGTAAAGTTCATAAACATGATTTTCTTATTAGAATTGTAAATTAACTTCAATTGTTAATTAGCCCGTTTAAACCCCAATTTTTCCCAGACATGAAAATCTTAATATCAGATTTCATTGATAGCCCTTTGAACTAATCACAGGGAAATAATTAAACAATATATGAAAAACTGTGTGTGTAAGGCAGTCATAGCTTGGCACCACCGGGTCCGCTGACTACCACCGGCAGGCTTGGCGGGTGAATTGTCCTCTTGATCGAGGCCACAAGCTATAGTCACCGTATTTACTGGTGAACCTTTGGGACGGGGCCACCACCACTTCTTGGACCTGATTGTGACTCCAGGTCTACACCTCTGATGTGCTCATTGATCTATTTGGCATCAGTCTCTGTGCAGTTCTTCCTCATTTTTGTTTCTTCTAGTATTGTTGTCTTTCTACTGGACCAGCAGTTTCTCATCTTGTGTCAGACCCTCATTTGGATCCTCTTTAGTTTTAAAGGGTACATCTGTCAAACAGACAGTTTTCCCTTCATCATAAACTTTGCAGGTAGGAACAGAGTGCCAGGGGGAGATCATCCTCTTTTCCCATGAACTGATCATAAGCATTTAAAATCGGGCCTGGAAAATGGCCCATCTTCCCCTCTTACAGTCCCTATCTAAGCCACTACTACCAAAATCATTTAAGGAGTCCATCTTCCATCATAACTACATTGTTGTATGTTTTTCTGGCCATCACTAAGTCTAACAGGTCAAGAACCACATTCAAAATTAATCTTAAAAAGGAAGAAGTTGGGAATGGGAAGAATATGGCATGTATTTAAATAAGCATACCTATAGGTCAAATGTGTCAACATGTTTATACGTCCTGCTCACACACCAAACCAAGTTTTGTAAATGCAAAGGTAAATATCATAAGGAGACACTTTAAAGATGATGTGCACCAAAAATCTTTGCTGTATGTCTGTTTAAACATACGTTACGAGCCTCTTCTTTGGGAGGCTTGTGGCAGGTTTTCTCTCTCCAAGGTGCAACCGAGATATAAACAGCTCTGGTCATAATTAATAATTTACTCTATACATGTGATGCTGCATCAGTATTATCTAAACACTCTAAATTTTCAATATTTGCAGAACATTGACTGAAAATTTTATCAATAAGCTATTTGGAGTTCTTGAAAGTGAAATAAATTTCTTGGTCACTCTTGTGACCGGTGGGTTTAAATGGGTCAGATGACTCTGTTGGCTCTGAGAGAAATAATTAGCAACCTATTTGATTCATTTATCAAATCGATTAATTTCCTAACAAGACATAAACAAGGAATCTAAAACTTCCTGAGGAAGATCCTAAAATGTTTCCAGAATGTATATTTAGGTTTTCTTCAAGTAAGGCAGATGTAACCTCATCAGATGATTCCCCCGTCTTGAAAAGCAAGTCCACAGTTTACAGGGACAGTTTGGATTTGCGCCTCGAGTCTGAAGGAAGGCTTCAAAGAATTAATGCGCAAAGTCCCAGGAGAGAGAAGCCTGGAGGTCGGGTGCCAGAAAAACAGCCTCATCACAGGACAGCTTAGGGACTGCCTCCATTTTGGGTCAGACACTGTTTACAATTTTTTGGAACCAGCTTGTGCTCCAGGTTCCTTCGGGCTTATTAGTCTTCTCTCTTCCTTTCTCTCTCTCTCTCTGCCAAAATGGATTGCTGGCGGTGACTCACTAAGGTGCTGCCTGTCTTTAGGGAGTTTACTCTGAGCCTGGAGGGCTGTTGGATGTTTACTGTTTGCTGAATGATAAGTGGAAAAACTGTTGCTCAAAGATAAAAGATGTTCCCATGATTGGAAACAATGCAGAGGAGCTTTCAACAAGGCGATCAAACTTGTTTGGAGACTCGGTAGAGCGTCCATCTGTCTTCATCACCACGATACCGACCCGGCATCCCAGAAGGACACACAAGTCGGGAGTTAATGCCACGTCTGCATTAGAAAGGTAGATTGGGAAAAGTAGATTTTTTTTTTCTTCACATTTTCTCAAAAGTGTTTGTTTCTGTTTCGTAAAAGGAGAGAGAGATCCAGAGACGAATGAAAAGAACTGGCTGACAGCAGACGTCAAGGACTCAGAATAAGTTGAAAATATTCTTACCAAGAGAGAGAAGAAATGTTTTAGGCATTACATCAACGTCACAATCATTTTATTTCTGAGTTGGTCTTTGTTAAAAGAGTTTTAAAGTTAAAAACATGTTCATGTTTCCTTCTATTTCACGATTATTAACTACTTCGTGTGGATCTTTTCCATAAAATTTTAATACCCTAAAATTGGTGATTGTATCATCATACACAGTTATGACATTCTTTCCCAAATCTCTGTAAATTATCCCCAGTCTTTTTGAAATCCGGAAACTGCACTTAGCACTTCTCCAGTATTTTCATGTCTCTTGTTTTATTTTTTCTCGGACCGGATCTTAAAAGGCGATTAAAAAAAAAAAAGATTATTATTTCAAACAAAGGCGCCGTGTGAAGCTTTGTTCCCGTCTTCGACCAATGAAAAGTTGACAGCCAGCAGAGGAGAACAATAAGCCGACAAATGAAGAGGCACAAAGAAAAGCCGCGCTTTGATGAAGCACAATAACGGCCTCAAGTCTGCGCCGATGAATGTTGTCAGAACATATAGGAGTAAAATGGACGTCTAAGTTAAAAAAAAAAAAAGAGATGATGTTTGCGTCTCTAAAGCATCAGTAAAACAGAATGAGAAGGCCTAGAATTGGCCGAGCCTATTTCTCTGAAAATCCTGTTATGTTCCCAAATATTAAGAGTTTTTTCTCTGTGTTCAACACATCATTACGATTAAACAATTCAACACACAGCTAATTGGTTAACTAGGGATATCTTTCTACTGAGAAGAGGCTGCTGTCGAGCAGAGCATGTGATTTGAACAGACCCGGGCAAAATGGATCAAGATCCATTAGAATCAACGCATCACTGACATTTTTATACGAGGCAATTATTCGAAAGGGACGATCGTTTGTCACGCAACCCGCGTTTAAGTTGTCAACGTTGCAGTTTGGTGCGCTCGCTGCATTCGGCCGCCGACGGTAAACGGTGCAGTTGAGGATGAGTAAATGGCCATCAGCGTTGCAGGGTTGAAGTCATGAGTTTGAAACGTTGGAACTTGTATTAAGGCAGAAATCCCTTCATTTTGATGAAACATTACTAGTTCCACTGGTAGATTATTTCACCTGTAAGGTTGCGATAAAGACTGTTTGTGTTCCTTATAGAGTTTCAGGAAACTCTGGATTTTCTCAGCATTTTACGAAAAACGCTTGGTTTTGGGTTTACTTTTGAGAATGATGCGTTCTGATAAGAAACAAAGCTTTTTTTTTGTTTAATTGATCATGATGCTTTGTTTATGGTTCAAGTTTCTCATTAGCTTGAGATTATAAAAGTCTTATTTTCTTGAAACAATGTGATCTAGTTGTTTCAGCCTAGAGAAGTTTACTTTTCTCATTATCACCAAAAATCATTTATCAATCCCTATAAAAAGAGGCACACTTAGTTAGTGGAGATCAAAATGTATTTTCTTTCAGGGTTGTTGTTTTCCAAAGATTGTTCCAAATGTGACATAAAAATTCAAATGTAATTATTATATTGTTTAATGACTTAATTATTTTCCCTGGTTTGTTTTAGGTTGACTCCTCAGAAGCGCCTGAACGTCTTCGCACACGACCGACAGAAAACATCGAGGAGTCTGAGACCGCACACACAGAATATCCTGAGGGTGAGAAGCTCATACGATTTAAAACCTAAAATATGCATTTTCTCCGTGACTTAACCAGAATTTAATATGTGGGAAACATTCATGCTCTGTTCAGGATGATGTTTGTGAAACGTGTACATTTTCTGTTCCGTTTTCACGTGTTGTAAACGTCAGAACAGCTGGTCGTCGCTCTGATGTTCTCACTTTCAAAGTAATTTCTTTATTGGTTTTTTTTACTTGCAATGTCAGAGAAAACACAAACTAAAATTGTTCAAGAGAATATTTAACCTAAGCATGATTATCTTTTCGCCAAAAGTGACTTTTTAGAGAAAACCTCCACTTGGTCTTTCTTGTTTTGCCAAAATATCTCTAAAAAAATAACTTTTACCAAAAAAATTGACTTTTTAGGAAGGAGATGATATTTTATGTTTTCTCCTACATATTATGATGTTTCTAAGTTATTTAAGTGCCCAAAGGTCTGTGTTATCATTATCATTATTACAATAATAATAACGGTTTGACTTTTGAGGTCAAGTCAAACCAGGGACTTGTTTGATCCGTCTCCCTCTATCACTTGGTCATTATTGATCAGCTTTGCTCACACACAGTCGGATCTCTCTAAAACAAGATCACAACACACAAACACGCGGGCGCCGCTGCGCTCATAATGTAACGTCATGAACGGAAGGGAGAGGCTGAACATGTGCTTTGGCCTGGCTCACACAAAACCGGCCTGCGTGGAGGATTCACTGGCACCATCTGTTCCCGAGCGCACAAACAGAGACACTAAATCAGGCAGACACACAGTAGGTACAACATGGTCACATCACCCGTCACACACGAACTCGGATTTGTTAATTATGTCCCTCCAGCGGACGCCTGGTTTCCCCTCTCCCTCCTGCCATGTTCACCTCTCTGTCCTCCTGTCTCCCTCTGCGTCTGAGGGTGTCTATTTAAAGACACGCACACACATACGTTCTCGCCTGCTTTCTTTCTTTCTCTCTTTCTTTCTTCCTTCCCATCTTTGCCTGTTTTTATTTATTTATTTTTTTACTCTTAAGCTGTCTCTCACTTTGAAAAATGTACAGCTTCCAGCCAACTGTGATGTCTTCACTGAAATCAGCTCAGTTTCTGGCTGCTCTGCGTGAGCGCGCGCGGCCAGCGGGGCGCGCCGATAACCGATGAGGTGGAGTTCACCGTGCTTTTTCTCTGGGCTCACTCAGCTCCGCTTTTATTGATGAGCTCATTTGACACAAAAGCAGTTGCTCGTTTTTGGGGCTGATATCTAGCGTGCCCTCGCTGACATAAATCACTTGTCGCCAAACGCCTGACGACCGAAGCAGCAGCGGCTGGGATAGTATTGTGTGTTTCAGTGGAAAGCAACGTACAATTTGGTAAAGAACATTTAAGCTGTCAGTAGGAGCCTCAGATACAAAGATCTATGTTTCAAGCAGTTTGTGTGTTCAAGATGTTTCCTTTGAAGTACAAAAAAGAAGTGGTTCTCGCGTTAGGATGTTGCGTCGACAGACTAGTGTTGCTGGGCTCAAGCACAGATGACATCCGGAGTTGTCTTTGCGAATTACAAAAAGGTTTTTATTTACCTTTAAACAAAAAGTCAGCCTGTCGACACTCGGTGCCTAACGCTCCCCAGCAGAATGGGAGAAAAACAGTACTCCGTACTCAGTGCTATACAGCTGCAGGTGTTACTGCAACAATCCATCAGTTTGCTTTTGTTTATTTCAGTCACTTGTAGCCAGTTTAGAATCACAGAGAAAAACACCAAAAGGGACTCAAACTTAAAACTCTGTGAGCTAAGAACTTCTGATTAATGCGGGGATATATATATATATATATATATATATATATATATATATATATATATATATATATATATATATATATATATATATATATATATATATATATATATATATATATATACATATAAGAGAGAGAGAGATAGATATAGATATCTATATATCTATATCTATAGATAGATAGATAGATAGATAGATAGATAGATAGATAGATAGATAGATAGATAGATAGATAGATAGATAGATAGATAGATAGATAGATAGATAGATAGATAGATAGATAGATAGATAGATAGATAGATAGATAGATAGATAGATAGATAGATAGATAGATAGATAGATAGATAGATAGATAAAAAGACTGTATCAAACAAGTAGCCTTTCGTGTTGCTCTGTACCCGTGAAGTAGCTCCCAGTCTCAAAAAGGTTGGTGACCTCTGGTTCAGAGGCTCGTGGGGAAGAGCACAGCTGGAGTATTTATACAGGTGAGCAGACAGGCTGAACAGCAGGAGCGGCTATGCTTCAGGTGTGTAGCTTAGGGATGAACTGGAAAATTGATTTAATACCGTCCCCGTCTCAACAACAAATGGTATGTTTACATACCTGGTAGATGAGTTTCTGTGTGTGTTGAACAAATGTATCAAATTCTGTCGCCAGCACGAACACAAAAGCTGTAAATGTGTGGCAAGGTGAGAGTTCATCTATCAAACTGAATGAAGATGAATTCATAAACTAGAAAATTCCTGAAGAAATTTAACTGAGGCCTGCCAAAGCGAGCCTTTCGCTGTGGAGCCAGCGTTCTAATGCTAAAAATTAGCATCAATGCTAAGCTTGGCTAAAAAATTACAAATAGCCTGTGGAGAATCACAAGCATGTTTACTAACATGGACTCCCACCATTCAGTATGTTAAAATGGGTGTGTAAGCTAAAATTAGCCAAAATGCTAATGTAAACCTAAATGCTGTCAGTAGCATGTGGGGTATCATTAGAATGTTGTCTGTAACTGACTTACTACATTCAGTATCCTAAACACAGCTAACAAGTAAGAAAAATGGCTAAAAGCGTTTTATATGCTGATCCTAACCCCAAAGACAATGCAGGCTAATCTTTTACACTACCTTCAGCGGTGGCCTAGTGGGGGCCAGTGAAATGCTATTGTTTCTACTATTGTTAATGCACATTAGTAGAAATGTGCATTAACACACATTTCTGTGTGTTAATAATCCCCAAGAAGCAATTACCCATGATGTAAAAGTTCTCAATTTAAACAAGTAGTTCTAAAAGCTAGCTCATTCCAGAGTTCCACCATAGTAAAAACTACAGTGATGCGTTTTTGTAGTTTCTAATCAGCTGCTTGGCCCTGTTGTGTTCCGTTGCTATGGTAATGGATCCCCTGTCAGTTTCAGTTGCTTCAAACTGACAGAATTCTATCAGTTTGAGGTCAGCCAGTTTGATTTAAAAGAAGCAGTCTCAACAACTCCTTCCCGTTCGGGAACCGTGACACGTATCGGAAAACCGTTTGTAGCGTATGAGAGGGCTATGTGTCATCTCCGATACTGCCACGATTCATATCTGTATCTCGCTCACAGAAATAACAGTGATAAGATAAAAAGGTTTGAAATTTTTCAGACATTGAAGTCAATCTGGCTGAGCGTGTGGAAATCCTGTCCCATGACATCCCTCTGAAGCACCTTGACAGAAAACCGTGAGCCTTAGCAAAATTTCGAGAACATTTTACCAGAGCAGGCATGGGTATCAATGTCATGACCGAGTTTGATACTGATAGGGCGATATTTGTGGGCGTGACAGGGATTTCAAAATTTATTTGGGATCAAAATCGCACTCCGTCCCACACGCTAACAAAACAATTACACTCTAGTTTCAGCAGTTTGTAACTGTCAAAAATTTTGCTTGTTTATCGCTTTTTACGTCGCCAATGTAACTCCGAATCCCACTGAAAGTGATAGCTCACCTACCGGCGCCGAGCCGCACATTTTCATACCACTTTTTTGGGTGGACACGCAGCGGCACGAGCTGCATTAACCATCACGGAAAAAGAAATCAAGAATAATAATATTAAAGATACCCAGTCACTGCTCCCCCTATGCATTGCTATGGACAGGCCCCAATTACCTTTAAATGTTAGTTGATTTTAACTGAGGGGATGAAATCCCAATCATGAATTCACTTTTAAAAAACAAACCTTCAATCTTCCTTGAGCATTACAGCAGACTGTAATAGACTCATCGCCACAAGTTTTCCAGAATCCACCAAATTGTTCATAAATTAAGGAAACTGATTTGCTATGACAGCGGACAGAAAGATGTCTTGGCTTTGAATCCTAGTTAGCATCCCCGCATTAACAAACTCAAAGTAATGTTAATTTTGAGGGATTAAACAATTTGTCTGAGACATTCTTCTTTCAGGAAATGGCTAATTTGATGTGTGTTTACAATCACTTACTAACTGGCACACTCTGCTGGATTGAAGTTTTACTCATCAGACACAAAGTTACACTTCAGATAGAAACTAGACAGAATGGGAACAGCCCAGAAATCACAAAGGCACAAACCAACTTAAGCACTTTCTATCTAATGTGCCCAAAATCTTTTTGTACTGTGGGAGGAAGCCGGAGCACCCGGAGAGAAACCACTCATGCTCATGGAGAATATGCAAACCCCGTGCATAAAGAACCCAGGTCAGGATTCAAACCCAAGACATCTGTCTGCTGTCATAGCAAATCAGTTTCCTTAATTTATGAACAATTTGGTGGATTGTGAAATTTCCATGATGGGTGAAGGATTTAAACTCCTTGGTGTTCATCAGGACTACAGACTGGACAGTGAAGCTTCTATAAGAACGGACCAAGCAGACTGGAGCAAGCTGAGATCCTTCAAGGTTTGAAGGTTCTCCAACCGGCTGAAGAAAATGCTTATCCGGCATTTTCTTCAGCCGGATAAGCTGAAGAAAATGGATGGACAATTGTCATTACTCCCTCTTACACTTTTTGAGAGTTTTTCACTGTTCATTGATATATCCATCCATATCACAATGACTAATATCTCTGGGCTTGCTAAAAATTAGGCAGATGTAAAATGCTGTCAATCAAGACAACCGACAACAACACTTTTCAGCATCACGTCTGACCTCAACGTTCTTCTCTTCATCAGAAACTTCCACAGTCGAGGAAGTATGTACTGTAGT